CTGTTCTAGGAAATACATTCTAATATCCTGTTATACCAACACACAATAGTCTGTGTTCCTGTTAACATTGGTCAAATTTGCTCTGTTCTGTTGCCACTCTTACGTCAAGTAGGAGAAAGATGTGTTAACCAACATGGAATCTTCTGACTAGGACTGGGTGTTATACTACCACTTGAGAGCCAAGACATACAGCCCCAATTCTGCAGTAGACAATTTTGGAACTAACTTCAAGTATTTTTAATCATTAAAGGCTGGCAAAATTGAAATGCCACTAAGTGAGTCAAAGAGAAGACCCAAAAGAAAAATTATTTACAACTACTTGCTGGATTCACATTTGAGCTACTTGTGGTTTGTAAGTAATGTTTTACTAAACTGAAAACACAATGTTATGTTTCAGTCTAATAAAAGCTCATAATACAACTGTTACAGAACTGCTTTTTAGAGCTTCTTCAAACATTTCACTCATCTGGAAAGCTGTAATTTGAAAAAAAATTAGCAATAAAAGGAAAGAACTATGGAGCTTACTTCTAACTTACAACTTGCTGCTTGGTGATGACAAGAATGAACAGCTATATATAATAGACAAAACAAAAAAAAAATCTGACAATCGATGATAATCTGATTTTACTAATACAGAAAGCACTTTCTGTCACTTAGAATCCATGTGAAAACTGTTAGGATTACTTTCAATATTTAGTTTTACTTATAAACAGAATGAGGAGGTCTTTAATTATTTCAGCAAAAAGAAAAAGACTGGAGTATATGAAGACAATTCCGACATTGCTGCAGACACTTAAAAAAGATAACATCAGTAAAACCTGCATAAAATTTGTCAGAAAAATGAATGTTACATTTTCGCTCTCTTTATCTATCCAAATTATACGTGTGACTATGATGCATTAAATCTGATAATGTATGTCAATACCATGTTATCATGCCTAGCAGTTATGTTTCAAAAAATAACTGCCCCTATTATCAGAACACAGCTCCAAGAAAATAGGATCTTGTCTGACTTTAATTGTTACAAACCCAGTGCCTGTCACAAAGAGCTCAACAATGATCTGTTGAGTGACTGAAATACAAGTAATATAAAATTTCATCTTAGTCATTTATGTTGATTTTACATTTTCAGAACTACCCCTCTGAATGTGATGTAACCTGGATTTTTATTTGAAAGTGTACTAACCTCTGCTTTCCACTTAATGCTCTGTTCATATAATACAATATGGTGAAAAACTATCTTATAAAAGGCTGCCTCTGCTTGTCCTCTATTTCATAAATGAGGCCATATTTACAGATTAATTATTTGTGGATGGAAGAACTCTGGCCTGTGAAATCGATAAAATGCAGATCTCAGTGAAAGAGCTCTGGGCTCCTGGCTGGCTACCACTCACTGTCTGTAGAAGGTACGTGCCTGGTGGACCAGGGACTATGCCAGAGATGAAGGTAAATGGGGGCTTGCCGAAATTACTCGGCACTGCTCATCTTATTCTGTGCAGGCAGAGAACTGAGGGGATGATTCTCTAACCTGCTAGTAGTTTTAACAATTACCCAAAAATCATTACTAAAATCTAATCAAGCCCCAAACTAAGCATCTTTCATTTTCTAAGTTTTGATTCTTTTTTTTAAAGAAACCCTGAATGTTGTTATATTTTTATCCTAAACTTCATAACTGGATATTATTATATTTGTTTATAAGTGAGCAGTTATTTCACATTTAAAAAACTACACTTTTCTACATTGGTATCTGTTTCATCTCTGAAATGTACTGTTAAAGCCAATGTTAAGGTTACTTGGTAAATTTAAATCTCTCCTATGGCAAAAAGCACATAGTGCTAGGAAAAGTGTATATTTCACATACTGCCACACAGCTAGAAACATACTCTAGAAACCAAGAATAAAATATTACCTCGAAATAGTTCTTTATATTAATAACATAACCAGGCAAATTCAAAAGGAGGCTCCCCAAATTAAAACCACTACACAGATCAACCACAACTTTTCAATAAAATACTTCCTTATTAATTCCCTTAATAATCAATCAGAGAAACGGAGATGGGTCTCCAGATATCACTATTCCCATGGTATCCTTCCATTTTCCCAGTAGATATCTAAGCCTTTGGCACCCTGACCCTGTGGATATTTCTAGCTCCATTCCTCTCTTCCCTATGTAGCCCTTTTAAGAGAGGAAATGAAAATCAAGTCCTCAGTGATGGGGCTACAGGAGATGCAAGCTGGACGTTTTTGGTCCTATCCCACTAAAAGACACATTAGTTTACAATTACAAATGACAAACAAACTCATATCCATACATGAGTCTTTTACAGTCTGTTTTAAACTCTAACTCTCTATTTTTCTCCTTGGAAAACTATGTCAAATAAGGATTCCTGGGGTGCCTGGTTGGCTCAGTTGGTAGAACCTTATGACTCTTGATCTCAAGGGTGGTGGGTTTGAGCCCCATGTTGGGTATACACATTACTTCATTAAAAAAAAAAAAAAAAAAAAAAAAGTGTTCCTTGTTCCAGAAACATTCCCGGTCTGGAATTTGCTGTAGTCATCCTATAGTGTCATTTAATAAGTTACTCTCTCCCCTGCATATTCTATGAAATGCTTCCTGGAGCTACAGGCATGATATAGTTCAGATTCAGTTTCTCAGGAAATAATACATCATAGATACTTTTTTCAAGTAAGGGGCTTACAAAGTTGGAATATTTTAATTTTCTTTCTTTCTTTGCTTATCAAGTTGAATAATTATCAGAGAACAAATCTCATCAATTTCTTGGTTACAATGAGATTAGGTAAGAAAACTTTTATTCAGGAAAGCTTGATTCAAGAGGAGATTCTTTATATTTATTTTTCAATTTTCCCAGTAAGTTAGTTTGTAGAATTCTTCAAAGGTAAAAAAATAAGATTTTTTTGTGGTGTCTGTGAACCTAAGGATTTTATCCTATATTATAATTTCATTCAAAACAGTTATTATTAGTAGTAGGACTGCTGTTCAAGTTATCTAACCTTAAGTCAGTATTAACTTCTTCACGTTGGCTCCTGGGTCCTTTTGACCTGAAACTAAGCAACCTTTGTTACCTCTCTACTTTCCAATGTGAAAAGATATCTAGCCTCTTGTAGTACATTTCCTGCCCAAATCTGGAAATTAATTACTTCTCCAAGGTCCTCTAGTTCCTCTACATGAAAATAAACAACATGGGCACTAGGGGTGCTCATTGCTACTGGGTGAGTCAATTGTTATAGGGAATTTTTATGCACAGACCTAAGTAACATGGACTTTTTTTAGAATAAAATGTTTGAGTCACAACAATATATTCAATTTGGAATCATGACTGTAGGGTGCAATATATTCTTGCCAGATTTACACTTGTATCTACTTTCTCACATGTGGAACATAAATAAATCCCATTAGGGCTGTCCAAGTCCATGAAGCAGATAAAGAGGTGACAGAAGGGGCTTAGAGTCATTGAAAAAAAAAAAAACTCTATGAAACTTTCACTTCAGATGATGAAACAACTTTTTTATATTCTATAAAGGATCAGCCAAATTTCCAGTCAACAACCAAGAAGTGAAAACTGAATGCCTTTTAGCAAAGTTTCAAAGTATGTGGTCAGTTTCTAAGGTACGTGTATTTATGGATATATATGAAAACTACTGGTAGTATTGAAAGATGAAATGGCTTCTCAGTCACAATGCAGAAGAATCTACGCTTCCCCTAAGTCTGTGTTCACACAGGGAATAAAAGCCTGTGGGGTTTGTGTTGCCAACAGCTTCATGTCCCACTGCCCCAGTGAGGCTTACAACCTAGACTGGAAAGCCTAAGGATAGGGACAAATTTTTTGATGACTTGCTGGTCCCCTCAAATACCTAATACTGCATCCATTTCTCCTTTCACTTCCATTCCCTAGAATGAAAGTAGCAGAAATAAATGAAGCATGGGGCACTCAGCACGAAAGAAGCCAAAAATAATCTCTCAGCGTTGCCTGATTAACGCTTTTAGACAAATCCATACCTTCCACCACAATATGGCTCAAAATGGACTCATGTACACATAAAACTTCAGTCAGCCTTAGCACGGTCATAATCATATTGCTACTAGCTTCCCCTGGGGGCACAGTGATTTGGATATTCTGGTAAGTGAGAAATATGAAGACAATGAGGAAAAATGAAAGGCTCAATGTAGTTCTCTAAATACTTCATGCAGATAAAACAGAAATTGTGTATACATAATGTCAAATACCGATCTGTAAAATAGGTGAGGTAGACGGTACAGGTCGATCCTCTTGTTAGGTGATCTGCTATGACAACTTTACAGAAGCTGCTAAAGTCCATTTTCTCCCCTTTCTCTAGGGATCACCTCACTCCAGCTAAATGATGAGTTTTGATTTGGAAAATGGAAATCTTCTTGTTCAAAAGAGTCCCATGGCCATTCCCTTGGTCTCCTGGGTGCTCTCCCTTGGTGGGGGTGGGGGACGGGGGGAGTAAAATCTCACAAGGGAGATCTTATGAACTGCAATGAAAGAGGCCTCAGGGCACCCAAAGAAGACAGCAAGAGTTGATAGTGTGGATTCAGAGTCCCGGGTGTAATACACCAGCTGTCAGGTCACGGGAAAAGAACTCTGCCAAAGTTTTCCTAAATGGGAGTAGTGAGGTTACACCTATACAACACTGACCAAATAAAGGAATGCATGCTACCCACCCAAGGGCTAAAATCTGGCAGGAGGCAACAAGGGGCAACCCAACTAAAAGAAACCAGTTAGAAGTTCCATTTTGCTACCAAATACATTAAGCATCCTAATTGAACACACACGTTTGTGTATGGACCGAAGTAAAATTTTATATTCATATATACTAGCTTGAAAGTGCTCAGTAGTATTTCTCACCTATACAGACCTATGTTGGTTTTTGAAAGGTAAAAAATAATTTAAAAATTTAAACTTCAGTTTATTAGTAACAGTAATCTCATAACAATGATGTGAGAAGACTGAATTTACCTCCTCGTACAAATCCATTAGTAGCTATTGCTGACGTTGACAATCCTGTGATAGTTGTCACAACAGTGGCCATTATAATTACAACAACCGACAGACCTTTGGGGGAAAAAAAGAGGCTCAGAATACTTATACTTATTTCAACTTGCTCTATCTGGAAAAGGTTAATAAACAGAATTTACATTACAGTTAACAATTCCCTTATTTTTACTCCATTTTAGAAAAGTGACATCAAAATTATGAAAACAATAACATTAAGATCTGATACAAAGGGGAAAAAAGGCGAAGTACAATTTCCAATTGTTTGAATTTGACGAGGTTCCCAGCCCAGATGAGCACACAGCTACTCTGCTTACTCATTGTCAAGTGAATCAAACAGTATGGACCTTTGCTTACCTATTCCAGCTTGACCCACAATCCACGACAATCTTATGAAGAGCATCACACCCCAAATATTTAACATACAACGTACCTAGGGAAGAAAAAAAGCCAAGTTACAGATGAAGCAAAGTGGCCAAATATAGTACATCAGTAAATGTTAAAAACTAGCCAAAAGTAGGACAACATACATTTAAAACTACAGAAAGTCACTTTAAATCTCTTATCCTTTTCTTTGTAGTATTTTTAAAAGAATTTAATGAGGGCTAAAATGTGAGCTAATTTAAGTATAACACATACACAGCAAAGGCAATTGAACAAGGTAAAAGGAGTATTTTAAGACTTCAACCCGAAGAAAGCAGTTCCTGTTCCCATTTATCAATGGAACTAAGTTTAATTTTTGCTTGTTCTTTATCAACATTCTTATTTCATAATTCTTTCAGAAGATTTAAGTTATTACAAAATATCTATCAACATAAAATGCCAATTGTTCACATATCACTTATTTTTTAAAGTGTATTTATTCATTTATTTTTAAGTCATCTCTATACCCAATGTGGGGCTTGAACTCACAACCCCAAGATGAAGAGCTGCACACTCCTTTGAGCCAGCCAGGTACTCCTCACATAGCTTTTAAAACGCTCACCTACTTGAAAAGAGTTTTCCCTATTTATTTTTACTTTTATTTATTTTGCTTGTACAAAGAACACAGTCTTCTAAAATAGGACCATCTAAGAATGGGCCAACAGCACTACCTGGAGCTTCACGTTCACTCTAGTCACTTAAAGCAATGCAATTAGTCTTAGAAGTGGGACTTTTCCTCGACTTCTCCCCTAAATGTCAACACAACTCTTAAGGGCTCCCAAAGTCCCAACAGGAGAGCCCTTTGGTCTACTGGTCTACTCCAGTCAGGTCCTTAGTGCCTATGCGAACACCGAAAAACAGAAGCAAGTCTGAAACTAAATCACTCAAACCTCTCTAGTGAAGTGACCTCAACACTTAAGAAAACAGTTTCTCCTTTATTTTGTTCCTTGTTAACTTTTATATATGTCTCTTAAAAAAATAATGGGGTAGCAGGAAAGGAAGTAGGAATCTATCAGCTCTACTGTCCGCTCAGCTTTCTTGATTCTGATGCTCCATCAATTTCAGTTTCGTACTTAATTTCTGACAAACATAAGATTTATAAGAGGTAATAAAATATAATCTAGAGGAAATAAAGTATAGTATGATTCCATTAATACATATACCCTGTTTCCTTTACTGAATTTAATACTCACAAGAAAAGGAGGTACGAGTTATTAAAATGGTCTTCCATAACGGTCATATAAAAAGAGAAACACAAGCTCTCTTAAGAAATGACAAGAACATTAGAAAGATTTTGTAATAAAGAGAAATGTTTTCCTGAAATTAAGTCTATAGGTACATACTAATACACCCTTGATCCAGCCAAACTTCACAACTCCTTTACTTTCTGCAGCATATGTGACCACAGCATCTCTGGTGGGAGTACTTTCTTCCCCGTTGGCAAAGCCATCCTCGAAAGGTTCCTGGTTATAAAAGAAAATGTGAATTATTAATTACTTAAAGTTTACAATCACTTGATCAAGACAAATATCACAAAATACATTTAATCATGTTTAAGAGGATACTGATTTCCAAGAATCAAGGGAGTCTGCATATCTTGCCTAAAAAAAAATTAGAGCAATAAAGTGGAGGAAAACCTTAGTTAATGGGTATTTAAAATTTTTTAATCTTATCATGACAGTAAACCCATTTTAATAATTTCAAATTTTAATTACACTTTGGTGGTATCTGGAGAATAAATACTATTTGCTAAGTATAGGCTTAGCTAAGTCAGTCCATTCAGACCTAGCCACTTTACAGTATGTGGTTGGCATCCTTCCTACAGATGAAATTTCAACATTAACAATTTAAAACTCCTCATCACCAATGAATTTTCCGTTTTTAGTCCTTTACAGCCAGATTCCCAAGATTCATTCTTAACTCCTGCCTTTACTCTTTATCTGCATTTACTTAGTGCTCTTCGTTCTTTCCTTTTCAATATTTTTCTCAGATTCAGACATGAATTAGTTTTTATGCTTCATGTCTGACTGTATGATTCTTAGATTTTGTTCTCTAACTTCCCTCTCTCTCTCTCCCTCTTCCTTTTGTTCTGTTCCTTCCCAATACATCCAAGATATATGACACATTTCCAAACCAGGAAACATGTATTAAGCATATCATGAAGGGTGAAGAAGGGTACTGGGGCAAGGAAAATGTTTGATGTCTAGAATCATGTCCCTGACACTACCCCTATAATTCTTCCCTTACCTGTATGTCAACAGCAGGGAACAAAATACAGCTGTGTTTCTAATACCATTCTTTAAATGGTGAAGAGTTAACTAAATTATCATTTAATTCTCAAAACTGTCATCCAGATTTCCTACCATACTTTTAAAAGCCATTTACAGTGGTTCATACTCTCTAGTGAATTCCCTATATATATATATATATATATATATATATTTCTTTTTGCAGAAATGAGCTACATCAAATTGTGTGTTATCAGAGAGAAAAATCTATGTCATAATCCAAACTTCCTTTGTTTCTGTGATCAGTATCTGTTAGGCAAGTAAACTCATTAAACTCCATTTAATGCTTAGTGCAATATGCATTTCCAAAGTGCTATCAAGCTGGATCAGCTCTTATGTTCCATATTTTGTTGAATGACTACTCATTCTTAGATTTTAAAGCCACAGAAGAAATGTAGGTTAGATGCAATCATTTTTGAAATAGATTTTTGAAAATTATTTTACCTAGGTTTTTAATGACAATAAAAAAATTAAATTTTCAACTAATCCTCACACGTCCATTTAAAGACAAGGCAAAAGGAAACAACCCAGAAAATTAATAGGCAACCAACGGAATGGGAAAAGATAGTTGCAAATGACATATCAGACAAAGGGTTAATATCCAGAATCTATAAGGAACTCACCAAACTACACGCCCGAAAAACAAACAACCCAGTGACGAAATGGGCAGAAGACATGAACAGACACTTCTCCAAAGATGACATCCAGATGGCCACCAGACACAAGAAACGATGCTCAGCATCGCTCCTCATCAGGGAAATACAAATCAAAACCACACTGAGATACCACCTCACGCCAGTCAGAGTGGCTAAAATGAGCAAATCAGAGAACTCTAGATGCTGGCGAGGATGTGGAGAAACGGGCACCCTCCTACACTCTTGGTGGGAATGTAAACTGGTACAGCCCCTCTGGAAAACAGTGTGGAGGTTCCTCAGGAAACTCACAATAGAACTCCCCTATGACCCAGCAATAGCACTGCTAGGAATTTACCCAAGGGATACAGAAATGCTGAGGCATAGGAGCACATGGACCCCAATGTTCATAGCAGCACTCTCCACAATAGCTAAAACCTGGAAAGAGCCTAAGTGTCCATCAACAGATGAATGGATCAAGAAGATGTGGTTTATCTATACCATGGAATACTACATGGCAATGAGAAACAATGAAATCTGGCCATGTGTAGCAACATGGATGGACCTGTAGGGTGTTATGCTGAGCGAAATAAGTCAGGCAGAGAAGGACAAATATCATATGTTTGCACGTATAGGAGGATTAGGAGGAACTTGACGGAGGAACAAGGGGGAGAAGAAGGGCGGAAATGGTGGGGGAAAGGGAGAGAGGCAAACCATGAGAGACTCTTGAATGCTGACAAAAACTGAGGCTGAGGGATGGGGGAGGGAGGGGGGATGGGCACGGAGGAGGACACTTGTGGGGATGAGCACTGAGTGTTATGTGGAAACTAATTTGACAATAAACTATTTGTAAAAAAAAAAAAAGAAAAGACAAGGCAATAACTTCACCTATGTGAAACATACAAAAACCAAGTCATCCTAGGAACTTAAAGATGAATGTTAGTATTAACCACACATCTCTGATAGATCAGAGTTTTAAAACTAGAGCCTATGGGACATAAGTTATAATAATTTCCCTTATAAATCACAGTTTCATAACTACTATCTACTGCATCAATGATTACTGTCCTATACTCTAAGAGGACTGACCAAGCCTATGGTATACCAAACTAATCACTCCATTAACAAAAATTAATTACCCTAATCTGTTATACTTTTTTCACAGATTTGTGGAAATATAATTCATACACCATACAACTCACCCAATTAGAGTATACATGTCAATGATTTTTAGTATACTCACCAAGCTTTACCATTATCATCACAATCAATTTTAGAAAATTTTCATCATCTCAAAAAGATATTCCAAGCCCGTCAGCTGTCATTCTCATTTCTTCTTTGCTCCAGCTCCTGGCAATCAATTCTCAACTTTCTGCCTGTTGGATTTGCTATTCTGACATTTCATATAAATGGAATGGAATCACGTAATATATGGCCTCTGTATGTGGCTTGTTTCAACTAGTACAATCAGTTTCAAGATTCATCCATATTATATTGGGTTTCAGTACTTTACTCCTTTTTATTGCCAAATAACATCCCATTGTATGGATATACCACATATGTCCATTCATTAGATGATGAATATTTGAGTCCATTTCACATTGTGGCTACTATGAAATATGCTCTTGTGAACATCTGTGACAAGTTTTTGTGTGGACATAGTTTATATCCCTCAGTGTGGAATTGCTGGGTTTCATTTCTGAAATGATGATTTCTGGTCATTTTTTCCCTTCTGTATCGGACTGCAGAGTGTCACTCCTCATTTCAGTCAATTTATCTGCCTATTACTATTCCCGTTCCTCACTTAGCATCTAGTATAAACAACGAAATAAGTAACCATAACTGTTGGAAATACGCATACGTAAGAGAAAAATGTGACCAGAGGCCTGTGTGGTTCAATCACAAGAGCAACTCACTTTGGCTTTACTTTCACTGTTGGAGGTGTTCTGGATGGTGGAGCATCAATGATGATCATCCCTCGCCTCCAAGAAAGACTCCTCAGAGGCACTGATGACTCAACAGTTCCATTATTCAAATAAAGCCAAAATAAAAACTTTTGCCTTTTAATTCAATCAACTTTAAAGTAAACAAAAACTCCTTGGTTTTCACTCTAGGGTATGTAGTGTTCTGCCCTTGATTTGTAAATAGAGACTTTAAAATATTATATAATCTTTAAGGTATTACAAAAAATATAGTGTTTATAATATCTAGAAAGACCACTTCCTTACGATTTTTATTAAAAAAATAAAGACTGATATATGTAATAGGCTAACTTTTCCAAGATTAAGTATTAATGTGGATGTCTTTTTCTGTTTCATGCTTATTTTGAGAGAGTGAGAGAGAGAGAGAGAGACAGAGAGACAGAGGGTGACTGCATGCACGACTGGAGGAGAGGCAGAGAGAGAGAAACACAGAATCCGAAGCAGACTACAGGCTCTGAGCAGTCAGCCCAGAGCCCCTTGCAGGGCTTCAAGTCACAAACCATTAGATCATGACCTGAGCTGAAGTCAGAAATTTAACTGACTGAGCCACCCAGGCACATCCAGTGTGGGTGTTTTTTTTTAACAATGTAAAAAGAATGAAGGCATCTTAAAATTTTTGCTGTGGGTGCTTATCAGAATTCCACCTCCAAGTTGAAGATCTAGTGATAATTATGCAAGTTTCCACTATACTATGAACAACTGTATTCAAAACATGAAGATTTTCCAGCGTGTATGAAAGTATTTTAGAATAAACATGAGTCTACGTAAAATGAAAGTTATCTTCCTTTCTACGTTCCAGTGCTCTATTTAAAAAAACTGTTACTAATCTCTAGCATACAATTTTAAAATTATAATCAAGTATTTATTACTTATAGTTCAATCAATATATTTAAATATAATTGGATTTACATTGTATTAATTTCCTGCAATAATAGTAAAATGAAGTAGAATACACATATTTTGTTCCTTTATATATATTAATTTCAGAAAAAGAATGAAAATATCAGTGTGGAATTCTGCATACAAAAAAATTGTTTACAAACCAGAAAACCACAAAATTTCACACTTACAATTAAGAACTAAATTATGCTGATAGGACGCCTAGGTGGCTCAGTTAGTTGAGTGTCCAACTTTCGCTCAGGTCGTGATCTCGCGGTCCGTGGGTTCGAGCTCTGCATTGGGCTCCGTGCTGACAGCTCAGAGCCTGGAGCCTGTTTCGGATTCTGTGTCTCCCTCTCTCTGTGCCCCTCCCCCGCTCATGCTCTGTCTCTGTCTCAAAAATAATAAAAACTATAAAAAATTAAAAAAATAAAATTATGCTGATACAAAGCTACATAAATAGTATCTTCAACCCACCTAACATATTTACTGTAATGATCAGTTTGTGTTTTTTACTCTTTTTCACATAATGGATAAAAGGTCAAAAATAAACAACATAATTTAATGGCTAATACCATATTAAATGAGGTAGACCAAATGAACTAAATTAATTTGGCCTTATCTGGGGAAAAATCTTTCAGAAAATAGCAATGTGATTCTGAGTCTACCAAACAGGGACTGC